TCTGTGTCTTAATCTGTTCTGGCTGCTATCACAAAATACCACAGACTGAGGAGCTTATAAAGAGCAGAAACTTAATTTCTCATTGTTTTGGAGGCTGGTAATCCAAGATCAAGATGCTGTCATGGCCAGCATGGTGAGGTGACAGTCTGATTCCAGGTCACAAACTTCTTGCTGTGTCCTCACATAAGCTAGGGAGCCCTGTGGGGTCTCTTTTATAAGGACATGAATCCTATTCATTTGGGCGGAGCCTCCCAAAGGCCCACCTCCTAAAACCATCACCTTGGGAGTTAGTTTTCCAACATGTGAATTTGGGGGACATAAACATTCAGACTGTAGCACTCAGACTCTGGTCTGCTTCTCCCTGAGCATCTTGCTCTTTCTCTGCAAACCAACCTTCTCCTCTTCTCTGGTCCACGTGGTGAGAAACGTGGCTCTTACACCCCAGGCTTTCTGTCTTACACCTTTAGCTGCCAGAGTGGAGACCTCTCAGTCCCAATCCCAAACATTCTCTGGCCCTGTTAGGGACAAAGGCCATCCCTAGAACAATTAGCCATGAAGGCTGACCCATGAATTAATGACAGAGAGGGAGTGGGTGGACAAATTCCCTAGCTTCCTCCGCCAGAGGATGGGAGAACTCTGATGCATGTTCTACACCACGTGGGAGCAGTGTTGGGGACGGGGCGGGAGGGCTGAGCCTACTGGGAGCATCACTCATGCCAAACTGGTGACCAACAGGACTGTGTTTTCTTCCTTGAATCTGTTCTAGTTTTTCCTGAAGTTCCTAAAAGTTTTTAATCATAACAAGCAGTTCTAACAGCAACACAAAACAACATGGAAAAATCTTGGGGATATAATGTTTCCTGAAAAATGTAACTTCCAGCAGGCTAGACCGTAAAACATGACACCATTTTTCTAGAGCTCGTAAACAAGCACAATTTAGCAAAACATTGTTTAAACATGCATGCCATTATGATTGCATGGTGTGTTTTTTAAAGCAGTGGAAATAAATAAACAAACAAATAAACAGCAGTGGAATGATAAACATAAAATATAGTATAGTGGCTATTTCTCAGGGGAGACAGGGAAATGGGACAGAGAGGGTTACACTGATACATATAGATTATTGGCAATAGGTTCTTGGTTCCTGAGTTGGGTGATAGGTACACAGGTGTTCATTACATTAGAATCATTTATAACATATATTTCATATAACCCTGTGAATGTATCAAATATTGTTTTTCAAAAGGTAATTTAAAATAGTCCAACATTTCCTCAAGAAAGGAAATGTAATCTTAGTGATTACTAGCTCTGCAATGAAAGACATTTATATAGTCACAATATATAAGGTAAACACTGTTAATTGAGTTTCAACTTTCAGAATCAACAGATGGACAAAGCACGGAAGATATGACTATAGCTACAAAAATAAACATAGCTGTTATCAGCCTTGATGTTGCCCAAGTAGAAGCCTAGAAGAGGTTAACTGGAAGGTGGGGGGAAGAGAAAGAGCCGAAGAGAAGGGTGGAGGACCTGACAACAGGGTCTCCATATAAGGTTGTGCAGGATGGACACTGCACAAGAGCAGGCAGCAGAGGAGGTGAGTGAGAACAGAACTTCAGTCTGCATTCTGCTTGGCAAGCCATGCCCTGCCAAGGAGACCCCACTTTGTTCTATATCTCATAAAGGTGCTGCTCCCCTCCAAGCCAACTAACTCTACATCTGTTCAGAGGGACTGTCTTTTAACCACAAGGTTAAAGGCACAAAGGCACTTTATGGGCTAGCACCAGTGCTGGCCAACTATCTCATTAGGTTTTGTACCAGTGAGAGGGAGTTTCTATGTTTTGTTTTCAGATTAGCACTTGCTCGCCTTTCCAGTGGCACTCAGTTAACAACCACGGAGTGCTTTTTGTGTGCCAGGCATTGTTCTACGTGCTTTATAAATAACAACTAATTTTATCTCATAATAGCTCTGTAATGTGGGTATTATTATCCCTATTTTACAGATAAGCTAACTAAAGCACAGAGAAGTTAAGTAACCTGCCCAAGGTCACACAGCCTCAAGTGAGAGAGGCCAAGAGAAGATTCAAGGACAATTCCTGGGGGATTTTCTCTCCCACTGTTGGTGGTCTCTGTGCAAGGGCGTCCATCTCTTCCTGTAGGATCTGACGGGGTCTCTCCCCAATGCCTGCTACAGCCAGCATCTGGCCCATGACCTGATCATGGCTTACTGGATGTTTTCTCCTAGAACTCTGAACCTTGGAGGGTAGCGCAAGGATGGGAGGAGTGTCGGCAGTTATCTCTCACAGTGGCTGTGTCCTGATGCAGCTCTTGGGGCTAGTAGTCCATGGCTGTGTATTCTGATTCCGGTTTCCTGCCCCACCGCCCCCAAGCTCCCTTGGTCCTGCCCATCCCCCAACCTGGTCATGATTCTGTGAGCTAACACCCATATCCTTCTAACAAATTGCTGTGTACTTCAGTTGGGACTCCAGGGACATTCAGGGTAACTTAATAGGTACTAAACTCTTTATGGGATCTACACAGATTTAAGATTTACCTTAGGTGACCCTCATAAGGTAGAAAGGCTGAGATGGGATGCAACCCCTTGCCCACAATTTCTGCCTTAAGAAAAGTAATCTCTCACTCCCCCTTCTCCCCCACTCCTCCCATCTTGGAATGAGTGTCAGATCAGGCTTACAGAAACTTTGCTGCAAGGTACAGTCAAGCCCGCTGGCCTCTGGAGGAGAAGCACCAGCTTAGGAAGCTAATTGTCTTAACACCAGGTAGACAATTGAAGAATCCCACTCTCTGGAAGAGGGCTGGAGGGGGTGCATTCGATAAGAGAAAAGGGCCTGTGAAATCTATAACTCTCCTCACATGATCCTGAAATTATCATTTTGTTGTTAAAAAAAAATCCATAAAAATACAGCCAGATCCAGAAGAGGAGACAGCCTTGAGTTTAGCAGACTCTTAACACAAGTGCAGAGGCAGCCTCGCTGTATCTTTCAGTTTATTGCCGGGGCTGGGGCCGCACAACTACGCTGAGCACCAGTCCAGAGAGCTCAGAAGCATTTTCTCTTGGGGAGGAAACTGATATTCTGATTTTTTTTTTTGGTGGGGGAGGTAATTAGGTTGATTTATTTATTTTTAGAGGAGGTACTGGGGATTGAACCCAGAGTCATCTATGCTAAGCATGTGCTCTACCACTTGAGCTATATTCTAGCCCCTTGATTTTTTTTTTTAATTCCTATTTGGGGTGAGAAGAAACAAAGTAGACTGAGAAGAGGTGAGAACCAGAGAGAAGTGCTGACAGGTGTTGGGAAAATTTCGATTAAACCCAATGCACATTTCCTGAAACTCTGCTAAGTGCCTAAATTGAAAGGAGGCTGGAATGGAGAAGGAGGAAAATAAAGTGGATTTGGGAGCGAAGGCAAGAAGAAATGTGGAGGGAGGGCTGGCAACGGAGGGGTCAGGATCTGGCCTGGAAAAGCCGAGACCTCAGATTTGGGAGCAGGAGCAGAGACTGATTTTCCACGAGGCTACTAAAACTTAAGCTTCCCAGACCCTTACTTGTGTTGGCCCCTGTCAGGCTCCCCTTGAAGGGCCCCCAAAATGTGCTCAAATGGGCATATGTTTCTATAAAATTTGAGAAAGTCTGAACCACAGTCGATTACTCTTTCCAGTCCAGCCCCAGCTCTTTCGGCATCTCATCCTGTAGCACTGGGGCGGCACGGCCTTGGGCACTATGGGGATCCAGCGAAGGAGGTTCAGTTGAGGACATACTTAGTTTGCATTGAATGGATGTGGTAAGCAAACCTCCCAAGTGGCCCCCAGTAATTCCCAACTGCTGCTCATGCCTTTTTTGTAATCTTCTTGCCTTTTGAATGGGGTTGGATTTAGAAATTTGGTTCAGATGAATGGTTAAAGTGATGGGGTATCTATTCTATGCTTAGGTTATAAAAGACTAACTTCCTTTGTGAGAGCAAACCCCTCTGTTGCCGTCTCAGCTTGCCCTCTGATAAACAAATTGCTTTTGTTACCGAAGGCAAGTTCATGTGACCCCGTGTGCCCACCACACTATGAGGACAAACGAATTGAAATGTCGGAGTCTGGAGCAGAGAAAGGTTTATTGCAGGGCTGAGCAAGGAGGACGGGATGGCTCGTGCCCAGGAAAACCCCAAACTCCTCAAAGCTTTTCAG